TTTTCGGTTTCCTCATTTATTTATTAAGCTTGTTTTGGGATCTGGAGCCTGGAGATTTTGAAGAGATCTGGGAGGGATGAAATCTCCAATCCGGGGTCCATGTTTTGAGAACCCCCAGCACACTGATTGCACAGGTGTGTGCAGGCCTTTTTGTAGAGGCCTAACCATAGTTCTGGGCTCCACCCCAGCAGTTAGGAGTCAGGCGGGCTCCACCCCGGCAGACAGGAGGTCTCTGCTGTGGAGTCAGGTGGGCTACACCTAGGAGAGGTGGAAGCCAAAAGCAGCAAGGGGCTGCTACAGAATAGCTGTGTGCTAAAGGTTCGCTGGGTGCCAAAAGAACCTTTTGGGAAGAGTCTGCAGGAGGCAGACTTAAAACTGCTTGCAAGCCAGGAGGCTGAATACTATGAATTTGCTTGATGATGGATACCCCTGCATGGGAAGAATTCTTGTTTATTTGAACTTTCTTGTAAATAAAAGTGGGCTAAAAAGGGCCCTTAAAGAAAGCGAGTAGCTGTGTGCGTTTAAAAGGCTCTACCACCTTGAAGCGAGTTCCCACATATGGTGGAGGATGCGGGCAGAACTAGAGATCCCAGCAAGGAAGTAAGTTCATGTGTTGAACTGTGTTTGGTGCATGACTCTACACTATCAGTGTGTGCAGGTGAGGAGATCCTGCAGAGAAAAGGAACTTTCCTTAAAGAGACAGTGCTCCATTGTGTTGATGGACTGTGCAAAAGTGTTGTGGAGTGACTGCAAAGATGGGGCGGTCAAAACTCAAAAAAGAAGCAAGATTTTCTGAAATGAGAGACAGAGCCCTGTGGCTGGAGGGGTTGTTACCACCAGAACAAGCCCCATACATGGCTGCACAGAGTTTGCCACAGTGGGAAGTTCATGCTGTTGTCCCTGGCAATGCTGGTGCAAGGAAACCAGTTTTCTGTGTGCAGAGTACTAAGCCTGAAAGAGGATGCAGTGTTGGAAGTTCGGCTAAGATACTGCCGCAAGGGCGCTGTTTGCGGTGCAGTGAATGGGGGCACACTGTCTCCAAGTGCCCTTTATCCCAGCTTCCAGTGCAAGGTGACACAACCAGACAAAGGTCTGGGTATGCAACTGGGAAGCCTGCTTGGAGTTGCAGGAAAGAGCAGCAGGCTGCCCAAAAGTTTTCAGAAAAATGTGGTTGCCCATAGCAACACATGTTACTTCAGGCCTGCGGACCCTGTGAGAGAAGTGTCGTCTGCAGAGGATTGTGGCAACGCAGAGATGAGAGTTCAGCACATCTGGAGGAACCCACAAAGTTCAGCTGGGAGAGTGCCATCTCCCATAGCAACAGGAGAAAGCCTGCCAACCAGGAGAAGGGGCTACAAGGGAAATGTGGTTCCATATCCCAAGAAGGTTGTCGGTGGAACCATACCCTGCCTGGAATGTGGTCAGTTTGGGCATGGTATCTTTACCTGCCCCATATTATGGAATACCACTGATGAGGGTGCTACTGGGCAAAAGTCTTCATCTGCAAGCCCAGATTCATGTTTAAAAAATGTTGGCAGCCACCTCTAGCAACAATGAAGTACCTGTTTTGCCTGCAGGGGGTGCCAAGGAGTCAGAAGTGCCTGCCACAGTATCATCCTATAGCTGCATGGATGAACTGGCTGGCCAAAGCCAAGCAGAGGAGATGACAGAAAGGATCCAGATCCCACGCACTCAAGTGAAGGTGAAGCCTGTTGCAGTGGTGGGTAAGACTGGTACTTTTGAGAGAAATGTGAGCGATACTAATGCACTGATTGAGACTGACTTTGAGACACTCTGCTATAAATATGGGATACCCCAGTTGAGAAACCCACTGCTGGTGATTGTGAGAGAGACTTGCCTCTGTATAATGCTCTGTTTAGCGGGGAGGCAACGGTTAAAAATGTCAATGTGAAGAGTACTGATATTGGGGTTGCACCAATGTCCTCTAAAGCGAATGCTGAATTAAATGTAGTAGGGGTGACCACTAAGCAGGATGTGTTATCTCCCCTAGCAACAGTGGTTAAGGTAACCCAGGATAACTATGGTGTTGCTCTGGTGGACCAGACTGTATCTGAATTGAGTGATGAGAGTTTTTTTCAGTGTGGCAATGGTGAATCTAAAAGGTATGAACGTAATCATAATGATGATGGGTTAATGCAATCCACTAATGCAAAAGTTTTTGTAGTGAATGACACGCCACTAGGTCACAGTGGTGAGAGTGTGAAATTGCAACCTGCTGTGCCTAGAAAAGGAGTCTCTCAGTGTGATATGGATCATGAAGATGTAGGTAATGGGTCTGATACAGAGCCACTCTGTCCCTCTGTGTCTCCTTCAGCGGTTGGAGTGGTACTGCGTAGTACCTCTGATGGGATCACAGGGAAGATGGACTGGGACAGATGGGCAACAAGCTTGTTGGCATTAATAAAAGATACCTCTGTTGCCAACAATGAAGTGGACACAACTTCTGCTGTGCTGAAAAGAGGGACTGTGGAGCAGCTGTTAGTCCAGGGCGCTCCTGTCACTGCCAAAATTAACCCACCGCTGGTAAAAGGCACCATTGAGGATAAACACTCAGCAGAAGTTTTGCTCACAGCCCATAAAGGAGTTAATGGTGTGGTATACCAAACTGATATCCATAGAGAAGCCGTGGAAGAGCTCATTGACATTGAGCCTCAGAGTATTTGGGTGAATCCCACACCTGGTTACGCTCTGGGAGAGCCCCAGGTTGTTGTGTTGGGTACCTCCATAAGAGAGGAAGCCTCTTTAAGAAGCACCACCTCTGAGGCATCAGTAAATGAGTGTCTCCATGTCTCCAGGAAAGTCTTATGTGTAGAATCAGGCTGTCTATTGATAACAGACCTGCTGAAGGAAATGTTAGCCTTCTGGAGTGTACAGCCGGTGTATACCATACTGTCTCTTCCATGTTCGGGAGAGCTGGTACAGTGGAGTCCCGCTAATCGGAGCTGGGTATTACAGGCTATACAAAACAAAGATGGTCAATATAGGAATTCTGTGATACCATCCTTGTTGGTGATGGTGAAAATTGTCTTTCAGTGCATTGCTGGGTTGCTTCATAGCAGTAATCTGTATGAGAGGCACACCAGAGTACTGTTGGACAGGACAGAGGTTTGGGCAGAAGTGCCGGAAGACGCATGTAAATGTGATGTGGTTGGGGTCGTCTACCCAAATGCAGAATTATGTAAGGAAGGTCACTCTGGAAAAGTTTTCCAAAGGTCCAGTAAACGCCCAAGTTATAAGAATGAAAGGTCTAAGGGAAATGGCCCAAAGCTTAACGAGGGGATGTTAAAAGAGTTTGATGCCAAAATAAAAGAGCCCACCTCTATTACTCAAGGGTCTAAAAATATAACCCCATCAAAATTAGAAAGACCGCGCTTTTGGAAGCGCACTCGTAAAAAGGAACGGGGATGTCGTAGAGCCCAAGTAAGTGGAGACAGGGGAAGTCACCTCTTGGGGAAGGGAGTAGTGTCTCCCTTTGATGAAAATAAAGTCAGCCAGGATTGGACCTTTACAGGTGATAGCCCACACAGAAGGTCTAAAGCAAGGGTTTTAGCTTTGTGTGTTCCGCCCCCTACGGGGTCAAAACAAAGGGGGGGGATATGTGGCAGTGCGGTGTCCTGCCACGGTCAAAATAAAGCTGAAAACCCTGGATTCTCAACCAGGCAGGTTGAGGGGCTCCAGAGAGTTAATGTATTGCAGAGGAAACTGACTTTTCGGTTTCCTCATTTATTTATTAAGCTTGTTTTGGGATCTGGAGCCTGGAGATTTCGAAGAGATCTGGGAGGGATAAAATCTCCAATCCGGGGTCCATGTTTTGAGAACCCCCAGCACACTGATTGCACAGGTGTGTGCAGGCCTTTTTGTAGAGGCCTAACCATAGTTCTGGGCTCCACCCCAGCAGTTAGGAGTCAGGCGGGCTCCACCCCGGCAGACAGGAGGTCTCTGCTGTGGAGTCAGGTGGGCTACACCTAGGAGAGGTGGAAGCCAAAAGCAGCAAGGGGCTGCTACAGAATAGCTGTGTGCTAAAGGTTCGCTGGGTGCCAAAAGAACCTTTTGGGAAGAGTCTGCAGGAGGCAGACTTAAAACTGCTTGCAAGCCAGGAGGCTGAATACTATGAATTTGCTTGATGATGGATACCCCTGCATGGGAAGAATTCTTGTTTATTTGAACTTTCTTGTAAATAAAAGTGGGCTAAAAAGGCCCTTAAAGAAAGCGAGTAGCTGTGTGCGTTTAAAAGGCTCTACCACCTTGAAGCGAGTTCCCACAATGTATATATATGTGTGTGTGTGTGTATGTATATAGATAGTATAGATATAGATATATATATATATATATATATATATATATATATATAATATATATTTATATACAATTTTTTAATTTTTATTGTATTAAACTAATGACAGTGATTGCTAATTTATGGTGGGACTGTGATAGTGCGGTGGGCAATCTGACACTAACTGCCACTGACATCAGTGACACTAACACAGTGATCAGTAATACTATACACAATTACTGTACTAATGACTGGCTGGGAAGGGGTTAACATCTTGGGTATTCAAGGGGTTAAATGTGTGCCTAACAATGATTAATGTGTGCTGCTTTTTACTACAGGTCTTTGTCTCCTGATCAGCAGGTCCCAGGCGTGATTCATTGGCTGGGACATGCTGACAGACTCCTGCTGTGTACAATCACAGCAAGTGTCAGCACGGGGGGGGGGGATATGCATGCGCCCCTCTGAGCCCAGAGGCAGGCAGCGGTGTACAGTACGTCACTTTGCCTGAGCGGGCCTCCCATCTGCAGTACATGGCTGGCGGTCCACAAGTGGTTACATTTGCAGGATGAGTCTTTTGCAACACGGGAAACTGGTCCAGGCACAGAAGGCAGTGAAACATGATGTAGTGGCTCAAATAGATGTGATTGGTCAGAGAGAAATGTGTGCATCAAAAGAACCAATTTTAAGTGTTGTGATTTTGTATCTTAGGCACAACCCCTGTGTGTGTGAGGACATCGGGGACCAAGTCTGGGCTTGTGGCCAGCGTGTTTCTCTGGAGGAATGGACCACCAAGATAAATGTAAGTCGCCATGCTAATTGGCAGTTCTGTTTTCCTGCAGAGGTTAATGAAACAACCTGTTACATACATTCCTGGTGGCTTCCCACCCCGGGATTGTGTGTAAATCTGACAGGTGGACTCCTTTCTGTCAGATGGAGCATTCGGGAGGCTGCACCCGATTGCTTCCACACAACATGGCAGATGCCGCTGGCTAAAGGGGAGGGAGGACACATGTCCGCTCTTCTCCCTTCCTTGTTTCTGACCCAGAAATGTGTGACAACACTTACAGGTCAACCTCAGTGTCCCTGGCCAGCATGACTTCTCCTTTTAAGCATGTGTGCAAAAAAAACACAAAAATGGCTTTGGCAGCGAAAAGGTCAAACTTTAAAGTCATAAGTCTGAGGGGTGGCAGTGGTGTACTTGAATGTAGGGGTGGCTGTAGTGTACTTGGACTGAAGGGTGGCTCTGGTGTACTTGGATGGAGGGGTGGCGTTGGTATACTTGAATGTAGGGGTGGCTCTGGTGTTCTTGGATGAAGGGATGGCGGTGGTATACTTGGATGGAGGGCCGGCTCTGGTGTACTTGGACTTTGGACGGAGGGGCGGCTGGGGTGTTCTTGGACTGAGGGGCGGCTGGGGTGTTCTTGGACTGAGGGGCGGCTGGGGTATATTTGGATGGAGAGGTGGCGGTGGTGTAATTGGACGGAGGGGCGGCTGGGTGTTACGGATGGATGTGCTGTACTTGGGACGGAGTGGCGGCTGGGCTGTACTTGGATGGAGGGGCGGCTGGGCTGTACTTGGACTGAGGGGCGGCTGGGCTGTACTTGGACGGAGGGGCGGCTGGGCTGTACTTGGACGGAGGGGCGGCTGTGCTGTACTTGGGACGGAGGGGCGGCTGGGCTGTACTTGGGACGGAGGGGCGGCTGGGCTGTACTTGGGACGGAGGGGCGGCTGGGCTGTACTTGGACGGGGGGGCGGCTGGGCTGTACTTGGGACGGAGGGGCGGCTGGGCTGTACTTGGGACGGAGGGGCGGCTGGGCTGTACTTGGACGGAGGGGCGGCTGGGCTGTACTTGGATTTTGTAAAAGCGTTTGACACAGGCCCGCACACAGCTGGGGTGTTCTTGGACTGAGGGGCGGCTGGAGCTGGGGTACTGGTGGGACGGAGGGGCGGCTGGGTGTTCTTGTACTTGGGGCTGTGCTGTACGGGACGGAGGGGCGGCTGGCTGTACTTGGGATGGACTTGGGACGGAGGGGCGGCTGGGCTGTACTTGGGACGGAGGGGCGGCTGGGCTGTACTTGGACGGAGGGGCGGCTGGCTGTACTTGGGACGGAGGGGCGGCTGGCTGTACTTGGGACGGAGGGGCGGCTGGGCTGTACTTGGGACGGAGGGGCGGCTGGGCTGTACTTGGGACGGAGGGCGGCTGGGCTGTACTTGGGACGGAGGGGCGGCTGGGCTGTACTTGGGACGGAGGGGCGGCTGGGCTGTACTTGGGACGGAGGGGCGGCTGGGCTGTACTTGGGACGGAGGGGCGGCTGGGCTGTACTTGGATTTTGTAAAAGCGTTTGACACAGTTGCCCGCACACAGCTGTAAGTTGAAGTCTACTGGCTTGGAAAAATCAGTTTTGTAAATGGATAGATAACTGGCTAAAAGCCCAAATTCAGGGTATTGGTTAATGATTCCCACTCTGAATCGTCCATAATAATGGGAATAGGATTTCTCTATGGGAGGGTTTGCAGGACAGTAAGTGAAAAGAAATCCATTTATTATTTGTGACAACATTAAATATTATTTATCACAAGTAAAATCTGTGGTGCCAGAGAGGACATTCACCTTCATTCACTGACAAGACGCAGAGAAGTACAGGGCACATAAAAGTATTCTTAACTACTGAAATCTAATTTGTCATTTTTGCTACTAAACCCCAATGCAAATGTTTTGCCACTAAATGAAATGTCTGTTCTACAGAACAAAGCTTCTAGTTAAAAATGTGAATTTGTTTATTATAATAGCGAACACTCACTGATTTGTGCTAATCTACTGAGAGCTGCAGACTGAAAATGATTTAAGGGGTTCCCTGAAATTTAGACGAAAAAATTGGCTTGATGGTTAAAAGGTTGACAAACTTCCCTACAGGGCGTTTGTCCGGCACCCCCTACAAGACGTTTGTCCGGCATCCACCTAAAGGACGTGTTCCGGCACCCCCTACAGGGCTTTGTCCGGCACCCGAGAAGGTGTTTGTCCGGCACCACCGAGAAGGTGTTTGTTCGGTACCCCCTACAGGGTGTTCGTCCTGCACTCCTTTCAAGGCGGTTGTTTTGCATCCCCTTCCTTGCATTTGTTGGGCACCCCCTACAGTGCGTTTGTCTGGCAACCGCTACAGGGTGTGTGTCCGGCACCCCCTACAGGGCGTTTGTCCAGCACATTGCGTTTGTTTAGTACCCCCTACAGGGTGCTGTCCGGCACCCCCTACATTGCATTTGTCCGGCACCACTACAGGGCGTTTGTGCGGCACCTGCTACAAGGCATTTGTGCAGCACCCGTAACAGGGCGTTTGTCTGGCACCCCCTAAAGGGCGTTTGTCCGAGACCCGCTATAGTGCGTTTGTCCGGTACCCCCTACAGGGTGTTCATCTGGCAACCCCTACAGGCGTTTGTCCGGCACCATGTACAGGGCGTTTGTCCGGCATCCCCTATAGGAAAGTTTGTCAGACCTCCTTCCCGGGGCTTCTTAATTAGAATTCCACAGAAGTCTGGTGTTTGGTCACTGCAGGTGGCGATGCGGGGTGAGAAGAGGATCTGTCTGGGTAGGAAGGTGGCAGCTGGGATGGTAGAAACAGTCAATGTGAGGAGGAATTTCAGGCGTACAGAGCAAGACCAGACACATCCAGAAAGCGATGTGTATGATGTCACTTTCAGGTCAGCCTCTGTATCCCCAACCAACATGACCAGGAAATAATGTAATGCAATGCGATCTGCATTGCATTACATTCAGGGGATTCATGCAGGGTCTATTAGACCCTGAGTGTCTCATTAACGATGATCTGTTTCCCAAAAAATCATCACATGGGGAATGTGTGAGATGTAAAAAAAAAAAGTTTTTAATAGTAAAAAAATTAGTTGCACCCCAACACAAAATATCCCACCCCCAGCCTTTAAAAAAAAAAAAAAAAAAAAGGTTTTTTGAGCCCCCCCTACACTAAACTGATGACCTGTGGGGGCTTTTACAGTGTCACCTGAGGAAACTATAGGGTACTGAAAGTTGTCGCCATTTCACGGCCGCATGCAAATTTAAGGTTTGAAATGGTGGGTATCTATTTTCTCGGGGCAAACCTCGTCTTCTAGATTCTAGCAAACAATTAGGTAAGTGATGACATTTGTGTGCCCCAAAATTAACTTCAGTGTATTTTACGGAAGTTTTGCATTTCCTAGACCTTTGTTGTGACAAAAAAATTGGAGCTACCACTAGTTTATTCTCTAGGGTGTCTGCTTTCAGAAAATATTTCTAATGTTTGGGGATTTTATGTAATCTTCAGGCCTAAAATGATTTTTATTTATTTTAAGCATTTGTGCCGGCAACACAAGCGACTTTGGCAGTGAAAGGGTTAAATAAACTCTCTAGAAAATCGCAAGGCTTCCTGCTTGTGTTGAACGTCTCAAGTAAAGGCATGAAAAAAGTGTTCCTCGTGTCTCTGCCACCACCTGTGTACTAATGAGAAAAAATAGCTTTGTTTTGTAATGTGTATGTATGATGACAAATGTGCTGAAATTTTTTTTTTCTCTCGGCAGGCCATCGGTGCTAAAACATTGAGGAACGTCTGCTGAAAGTACATCTATGACAAGTGTCCTGCTGTAGCTGCAGATGGTAGGTCGTTTTTAATTTAAAGCATTTCCTGTAGTTGTGACTTTCATCCCGAAGGTTATTCCATCCCAACGTTGTTTTAGTTTGGGTGGTTAAAGTGTTACTGACCACTTGAAGACTTCCTTACGTACATTTACTTCAGCAGTTTCAAGTGGTACCGTGGACTGTCCGTCTATACTGACTGGGGGTTTGTTCTGGGCGGGAACCATCTGTCTGTATTTGGGGGCTCTGTGCTGAGGGCACCGTCCGTCTATACTGAGGGCTTTGTGCTGAGGGCGCCGTCCGTCTATACTGAGGGCTGTGCTGAGGGCGCCGTCCGTCTATACTGAGGGCTCTGTGCTGAGGGCGCCGTCCGTCTATACTGAGGGCTCTGTGCTGAGGGCGCCGTCCGTCTATACTGAGGGCTCTGTGCTGAGGGCTCCGTCTATACTGAGGGCTCTGTGCTGAGGGCGCCGTCCGTCTATACTGAGGGCTCTGTGCTGAGGGCGCCGTCCGTCTATACTGAGGGCTGCTGAGGGTGCCGTCCGTCTGTGCTGAAGAAACCGTCCGTCTATACTGAGGGCTGTGTGCTGAGGGCACCGTCCGTCTATACTGAGGGCTCTGTGCTGAGGGCGCCGTCCGTCTCTACACTGAGGGCTTTGTGCTGAGGGCGCCGTCTGTCTATACAGGGGTGGGCATCTGTGGCCCTCCAGCTTTTGGTGAACTACAAGTCCCATCATGCCTCTGCCTTTTTTGACTCTTGCTTGTAACTGTCAGTTTTGCAATGCCTCATGGGACTTGTAGTTCTACAACAGCTGGAGGGCCACAGTTTCTCACCCCTGGTCTATACTGTGGGATCTGTGCTGAGGGCACCGTCCGTCTATACTGAGGGATCTGTGCTGAGGGCACCGTCCGTCTATACTGAGGGCTCTGTGCTGAGGACACCATCCGTCTATACTGAGGGATCTGTGCTGAGGGCACCATCCGTCTATACTGAGGGATCTGTGCTGAGGGTACCCCCGCCTATACTTGGGGACTCTGTGCTGAGGGTGCCGTCCGTCTATACTGAGGGATCTCTGGGCTGAGGAGCGCCGTCTATCTATACTGAGGGTTCTGGGCTGAGAGCACCGTCCGTCTATACTGAGGGTTCTGGCTGAGGGCACCGTCCGTCTATACTGAGGGTTCTGGGCTGAGGGCACCGTCCGTCTATACTGAGGGTTCTGGGCTGAGGGCACCATCCGTCTATACTGTGGGATCTGTGCTGAGGGCACCATCCGTCTATACTGTGGGGCTCTGTGCTGAGGGCACCGTCCGTCTATACTGAGGGATCTGTGCTGAGGGCACCGTCCGTCTATACTGAGGGATCTGTGCTGAGGGCACCGTCTGTCTATACTGAGGGCTCACCGTCCCGTCTATACTGAGGGATCTGTGCTGAGGGCACCGTCCGTCTGTACTGAGGGATCTGTGCTGAGGGTACCGTCCGTCTATACTGGGGACTCTGTGCTGAGGGCACCGTCCGTCTATACTGAGGGATCTCTGCTGAGAGCGCCGTCCGTCTATACTGAGGGTTCTGGCTGAGGGCACCGTTCGTCTATACTGAGGGTTCTGGGCTGAGGGCACCGTCCGTTTATACTGAGGGTTCTGGGCTGAGGGCACCGTCCGTCTATACTGAGGGTTCTGGGCTGAGGGCACCGTCCGTCTATACTGTGGGATCTGTGCTGAGGGCTCCGTCTATACTGAGGGATCTGTGCTGAGGGCACCGTCCGTCTATACTGAGGGATCTGTGTGCTGAGGGCACCGTCCGTCTATACTGAGGGCTCTGTGCTGAGGGCACCGTCTGTCTATACTGAGGGCTCTGTGCTGGGCGCCGTCCGTCTATACTGAGGGATCTGTGCTGAGGGCACCGTCCGTCTATACTGAGGGATCTGTGCTGAGGGTACCCCCGTCTATACTGGGGACTCTGTGCTGAGGGCACCGTCCGTCTATACTGAGGGATCTCTGCTGAGGGCGCCGTCCGTCTATACTGAGGGTCTGGGCTGAGGGCACCGTCCGTCTATACTGAGGGTTCTGGGGCTGAGGGGGCCACCGTCCGTCTGTCTATGAGGGATCTGTGCTGAGGGGACCGTCCGTCTATATACTGAGCTCTCTGCTGAGGGCACCGTCCGTCTATACTGATGGGCTTGTGCTGAGGGCACCGTCCGTCTATACTGAGGGCTCTGTGCTGAGGGCGCCGTCCGTCTATACTGAGGGCACCGTCTGTCTATACTGAGGGCTCTGTGCTGAGGGCACCGTCCGTCTATACTGAGGGCACCGTCTGTCTATACTGAGGGATCTGTGCTGAGGGCGCCGTCCGTCTATACTGAGGGATCTGTGCTGAGGGCACCGTCCGTCTATACTGAGGGATCTGTGCTGAGGGCACCGTCCGTCTATACTGAGGGATCTGTGCTGAGGGCACCGTCCGTCTATACTGAGGGATCTGTGCTGAGGGCACCGTCCGTCTATACTGAGGGATCTGTGCTGAGGGTACCCCGTCTATACTTGGGGACTCTGTGCTGAGGGCACCGTCCGTCTATACTGAGGGATCTCTGCTGAGAGCGCCGTCTATCTATATCTGAGGGTTCTGGGCTGAGGGCACCGTCCGTCTATACTGAGGGTTCTGGGCTGAGGGCACCGTCCGTCTATACTGAGGGCTCTGTGCTGAGGGCACCGTCTGTCTATACTGAGGGCTCTGTGCTGAGGGCTGTCCGTCTATACTGAGGGCTCTGTGCTGAGGGCACCGTCCGTCTATACTAAGGGATCTGTGCTGAGGGCGCCGTCCGTCTATGCTGAGGGCTCTGTGCTGAGGGCACCGTCCGTCTATATCAGGGGTGGGTAACTGTGGCCCTCCTGCTTTTGGTGAACTACAAGTCCCATCATGCCTCTGCCTTTGGGACTCACGCTTCTGTCAGTTTTGCAATGCATCATGGGACTTGTAGTTCTGTAACAAGCCGGAGGGCCACAGTTGCTCACCCCTGGTCTATACTGAAGGATCTGTGCTGAGGGCACGTCCATCTATACTGAGGGCTCTGTGCTGAGGGCGCCGTCTGTCTATATCAGGGGTGGGCATCTGTGGCCCTCCAGCTTTTGGTGAACTACAAGTCCCATCATGCCTCTGCCTTTTGGGACTCTTGCTTGTAACTGTCAGTTTTGCAATGCCTCATGGGACTTGTAGTTCTACAACAGCTGGAGGGCCACAGTTTCTCACCCCTGGTCTATACTGAAGGATCTGTGCTGAGGGCACCGTCCGTCTATACTGAGGGATCTGTGCTGAGGGCACCGTCCGTCTATACTGAGGGCACCGTCTGTCTATACTGAGGGCTGTGCTGAGGGCACCGTCCGTCTATACTGAGGGATCTGTGCTGAGGGCTCCTTCTGTACTGAGGGATCTGTGCTGAGGGTACCCCGTCTATACTTGGGGACTCTGTGCTGAGGGCGCCGTCCGTCTATACTGAGGGATCTCTGCTGAGAGCGCCGTCTATCTATACTGAGGGTACCGTCCGTCTATACTGAGGGTTCTGGGCTGAGGGCACCGTCCTCTATACTGAGGGTTCTGGGATGAGGGCACTGTCCGTCTATACTGAGGGTTCTGGGATGAGGGCACTGTCCGTCTATACTGTGGGATCTGTACTGAGGGCACCGTCCGTCTACACTGAGGGATCTGTGCTGAGGGCACCGTCCTTCTGTACTGAGGGATCTGTGCTGAGGGTACCACGTCTATACTTGAGGACTCTGTGCTGAGGGCGCCGTCCGTCTATACTGAGGGATCTCTGCTGAGAGCGCAGTCTATCTATACTGAGGGTTTTGGGCTGAGGGCACCGTCCGTTTGTAATGAGGGATCTGTGCTGAGGGCACCATCCGTCTATACTGAGGGCTTTGTGCTGAGGGCACCGTCCGTCTATACTGAGGGCTTTGTGCTGAGGGCACCGTCCGTCTATGCTGATGGCTTTGTGCTGAGGGCACCGTCTGTCTATACTGAGGGCTCTGTGCTGAGGGCGCCGTCCGTCTATACTGAGGGCACCGTCTGTCCATACTGAGGGCGCCGTCCGTCTATACTGAGGGCGCCGTCTGTCTATACTGAGGGATCTGTGCTGAGGGCGCCGTCCGTCTATGCTGAGCTGCTGTGCTGAGGGCGCCGTCCGTCTATGCTGAGTGCTGTGTGCTGAGGGCACCGTTCGTCTATATCAGGGGTGGGTAACTGTGGCCCTCCTGCTTTTGGTGAACTACAAGTCCCATCATGCCTCTGCCTTTGGGACTCACGCTTCTGTCAATTTTGCAATGCATCATGGGACTTGTAGTTCTGTAACAAGCCGGAGGGCCACAGTTGCCACCCCTGGTCTATACTGAAGGATCTGTGCTGGGGCGCCGTCCGTCTATACTGAGGGCTCTGTGCTGAGGGCACCGTCCGTCTATACTGAGGGCTCTGTGCTGAGGGCACCGTCCGTCTATACTGAGGGCTTTTTGCCGAGGGCACCGTCCGTCTATACTGAGGGATCTGTGCTGAGGGCACCGTCCGTCTATACTGAGGGATCTGTGCTGAGGGTGCCGTCCGTCTATACTGAGGGATCTGTGCTGAGGGCTCCGCCTGTCTATACTGAGGGCTCTGTGCTGAGGGCACCATCCGTCTATACCAGGGGGGGGCAAACTTTTTGACTGAGGGCCGCAATGGGTTCATATATTGGACACGGGGGCCGGACCAAGAGTAGATGAATGATGTGTATGTGTCATCCATAGTGAGTATAGTAATATTCCCCCATAGTAAGCATAGTAATTCATCCCCCTATATAGTAATTCATCCCCCATAGTAATTCATCCCCCCATAATTCATCCCCCATATAGTAATTCATCCCCCTATAGTAATTCATCCCCCCTATAGTAATTCATCCCCCCTATAGTAATTCATCCCCCTATAGTAATTCATCCCCCCTATAGTAATTCATCCCCCATATAGTAATTCATTCCCCATATTAATCCATCCCCCATATTAAGTCCCCAAGCCCCCCCTGTGTCAATTCACTTACCTTCTATGCTCCGCGGTTCCTCTCGCCGTGTTCCTGCGCCGTTCCGGTGTAGCATGAAAATCTGTCTCCTATGAGGATCTGTCCCCCCTCGACGTATCTGCGCATGTGCCAGTTTCAGGCATTAGCAGCCGATCGGCGATCTCCGGCACATGCGCAGATACTGTCGAGGGGGACAGATCCTCATAGGAGACAGATTTTCATGCTACACCGGTCTTCAGGGCGGACTGTGAGAGGGCGCCCTAGCTCCGCGGGCTGGATTAAAAGGTCTCCGGGCCGCCCCGCGGCTGTAGTTTGCCCATTGCTGGTCCCACTGAGGGATCCGGCTGAGGGCACCGTCCGTCTATACTGAGGGACTCTGGGCTGAGGGCACCGTCCGTCTATACTGAGGGCTTTTTGCTGAGGGCACCGTCCGTCTATACTGAGGGATCTTTGCTGAGGGCACCGTCCGTCTATACTGAGGGCTTTTTGCTGAGGGCACCGTCCGTCTATACTGAGGGATCTGGGCTGAGGGCACCGTCCGTCTATACTGAGGGATCTATGCTGAGGGCACCGTCCGTCTATACTGAGGGATCTGGGCTGAGGGCGCCGTCCGTCTATACTGAGGGCTCTGTGCTGAGGGCACCGTCTCTATACTGAGGGATCTTTTTTTATGAGGGCACCGTCCGTCTATACTGAGGGCTCTGTGCTGAGGGCACCGTTCGTCTATATCAGGGGGGCAACTGTGGGCCTTCCAAGTTTTGGTGAACTACAAGTCCCATCATGCCTCTTCCTTTGAGACTCATGCTTGTAAATGTCAGTTTTGCAATGCCTCATGGGACTTGTAGTTCTACAACAGCTGGAGGACCACAGTTGCTCACCCCTGGTCTATACTGAGGGATCTGTGTTGAGGGCACCGTCCGTCTATACTGATGGCTCTGTGCTGAGGGCGCCGTCCGTCTATGCTGAGTGCTGTGTGCTGAGGGCACCGTTCGTCTATATCACGGGTGGGCAACTGTGGCCCTCCTGCTTTTGGTGAACTACAAGTCCCATCATGCCTCTGCCTTTGGGACTCACGCTTCTGTCAGTTTTGCAATGCATCATGGGACTTGAAGTTCTGTAACAAGCCGGAGGGCCACAGTTGCTCACCCCTGGTCAATACTGAGGACTTTGTGCTGAGGGCGCCGTCCGTCTATACTGAGGGATCTGTGCTGAGGGCGCCGTCCGTCTATTCTGAGGGCTTTTTGCTGGGGGCACCGTCCGTGTATACTGAGGGCTCCGTACTGAGGGCACCGTCCGTCTATACTGAGGGATCCGGCTGAGGGCACCGTCCGTCTATACTGAGGGCTCTGTGCTGAGGGTACCTTCCGTCTATACTGAGGGATCTGTGCTGAGGGTACCGTCCGTCTATACTGAGGGCTCTGTGCTGAGGGTACCTTCCGTCTATACTGAGGGATCTGTGCTGAGGGCTCCGTCCGTCTATACTGAGGGCTCTGTGCTGAGGGCGCCGTCCGTCTATACTTCAGGGCTCTGTGCTGAGGGCACCGTCCGTCTATACTGAGGGCTTTTTGATGAGGGACCCCCTACAGATATTACATTAATAATCATGCTACCAAAATAAGTGTGCAGTGTAAATTGCCTTTAGCATCACTCCTGTTTCTCGTTGCTGGAGGTGGCCATTTTTTTGAAGCCCAGAGCTCCATGAGCAGCAGTAAATCTTTAGGCTGTCAGCACATCGGCCTTTACATATTCAGCACAGTGCCTGAAAATAGCGAGCAACTGAGCATGTGTAGTGCAAGGTCACAACAGAGAGGGCCATCCTTCACAATGGAGACAGGGCGAGCAATCAAAGTACATCCACACTTCATCCAAAGAAAAAAATGTTAATTGTTAAATGTTGTTAACCTGTTGTTAATGAATGCAGGCTATTTCCAGTAACTGTCTTCTAATTCTGATCAAATTTCTGTCTCCATCTAGATCTCGTCAAGCAGCTCCCTGACTACGACTGTATCCGCAGTGCTATGTGCTGGCTCCGTTTCTGATCTCCATCCAGTTCAGGGGGCACATTTTTTTTGGAATAAACAAGATCTGGCCTTTGAGGATCAACTAGAGAAATGCTGGTGATTTACTTTCAGAAAACATTGAATGTCTGGAGGCTCCCCTTTCAGCAGATGTAAAATACAGCCAGGAACATCCATTTGTGGATTTGACATGTGAACAGCTTGTGACATCACTGAATAAAATGTCATTTTAAAGGAAGTATGTTGACTTTTTTTTGGGGGGGGGTGTATGTTACTGTTAACCACTTGACCCGCAGAGGATTTCCCCCCCTACCTGACCAGGCCATTTTTTGTGATATGGCACTGCACTACTTTACCAGATTGCTCGGTCATGCAACACTGTACACAAATGAAATTTGTCCCTCCCCCCCCCCCCTTCCCAAATAGAGCTTGCTTTCGGTGGTATGTGAACACGTCTGCGATTTTTTTTTTTTTTTTTTTTTTTTTTTTTTTCCCTCCCCCGCTATAACCAAAAAGACTGACAATTTGGAAAAATAGAATAATATTTTTGACTTTTTGCTATAAAACATATCCAATAAAGCTGTAAAAAATCAAATTTTTTTTCATGAATTTAGGCCAAAATGTATTCTGCTCCGTGTCTTTGCTAAAAAAAAATAATCCCAATACCTGTGAATTAATTGGTTTACGTGAAAGTTATAGTGTCTACAAATGGCGGTATATATACTGGAATTTTCTAAAAAAAAAAAATTTAATACTAGTAATGGTGGCGATCAGCAACTTCTAGCGGGCATTCTGATACTGGGAGGGAACTAACGGACACTGACCTCCCAGTGACACCAATACAGTGATCAGTGCCCGCTGTGTCCGGAACACCGATCGCTGTGTCAGGTCCCGATCATGTGATCAATGATTGGCCAATCAGTGATCACATGAACAGTAGTAAACAAGATGTCACTTCCTGACATCATTGCTTACTACTAGTGAAATCTATGAATGATCACAGAGATCACATGGTACAGGGCTATTTACAACAGCCTTGTACCATGTGACAAGCTTTGACTAATCGTAGCTCGCACAGTATTTCTCAATGGCTGCAAGAATGCAGCCACAGAGGAGAAATGATTGCTTTTTACAGCGTTTATGGGTGTAAAAGCAATCGGTGTACAACAAAGAAAAAAAAATCTTCATCACCCCCCACAAGTAGTACAGTGTCATAATAATATAAAAAAAAATTAAAATTAAAAACATTTTTGAAAAATTATAGTTTTTGGTTAAACTAATTTGGGTTATTTTTTTAACTAAAAAGCTGAATACATTTTGACCAAGATTTATGAAGAAAGATTTGCAAAATTTTATGAGAAACTTTTTTTTCATTGCTGCCTTTGCAGCTTGGTGAGTAGCAGTTGGGGGTGCTAAAAAACAAGGCTCAATGGCTCATTTTTTTACAAGGTCGAAATACAAGTCTAAATGAGACCTAAGTGACTTTAAACATGCTGGGATAACTATAGATCTATACTTTAGATCAGTGGTCTCCAACCTGCGCCCAGGGGCCGAATGTGGCCCTTTGCTTGCCTTTATCTGGCCCTTGGAGCACTGCGGCCCTGTTGATGGGGCACCATTCCCCTACTGAGACCATCTATGGGGCACTATTTCTCCCATTAAAACCCAGTGATGAGGCATTGACACTAGGGCATTCTCTACTCTCACTCACTGGCCACAGTCTGCCCCCCCCCCCCCCCCCAACCCTCAGTTCACACTATTGAAGGCTGCGTAGCCTGTTTTTGCTCGGTCTCAGCAGCCCATTCATTTAAATAGGCTGCTGTGCCTGCGTCTCCGCACAAAAATGCATGCACTTTTTTAAAAATGCGGCCTCATAGTAACGGCGTGGTGTTTTTTTGACCATTCGGTGAGTTTCTTTTTGAGCATGCTCGGTTTCCCGCACTCGTGGTACGAGCTGAGATGTGTGGGGGCGCCATTCAGAATGAATGGCAGCCCCGCAAATCTCAGGGGCGCTCGAATTGGCTGCGGGTAGGTGCGGGAACCAGGACCAATGCTAGACTGTTCTGTGTCCTAGGCTAGAACAGCTACTTGTGCCCACCCAGTAAATGTTAAAAAAAAAACAGTACAAAATATTAAACAACCAAAACATAAATACTATTACATTTCTTTTAATTTACAAAAAAAAGTGCCATAAGATGCCACCAGCACCAATATTAAAGACCAGATCAGTGTCACAAATGGACTGTAGCTGGCAGTGGCAGGGTGACAGTTGCAGTGAGTGGAGGATGATGGATCCACACTGTGACAGATCTCAGGCTGGAATTCCCCAGGCAATGGGGGGAGGTAAAACGCTGTGACAGCAGGCAGCTGAACTGAGCGCCTCCCACACAGGGCAGATCTGACACAACACACCAACACTGACACAGATCAGAAGGCCCAGCAGACAATAGAAAGCGGGCCTGTGGGATCGTGATGATGTCATCACATCACTGACACATTACGTATGTGGATGGCCGGCTGGGTCACACTCACACAGACACGAGACAACAGAGTCAGACATTTACCTACCTCTGCAGGCACAGCTCCGCCTTCACTAATGAATGGAAGAGAAGGGCTTGGAAAGCTCCACAGTGAGCAGCAGACAACAGCTGGCTTTCAGTAAGGGACCGAGTCTGAGAGGAACACTGGAAGGCAGCACGTGCTACACTGAGCAGCATCCCACACAGTATCCAGTCTGTTTTTGCGCCCCTAGGTGACAGTGCGCCTAGTGGTTTGTCTAGTTTCCCTAGTGGAAAGCACTGGGCCCTGTCGGGAACAGATGCGATTCTCGTACCCGCAACCAACCCGCATAGTGTGAACTAAGGGTGAGGCTATAGGACCGTAAACTGGCCCATTTGCTTAGACAGTTTGGAGACACCCTGCTTTAGATTTAAGGTTAGATAACAAATAAAAACCCTTTTTTTTTTCCTGCTTTTACTCTTTCTTTTTTCCCAAAAAATATAGCTTTGCACTTGCTTTGGTCGCACTGAAAAATGTGGCAGATTTGTTAGATGAATACGAACTTGTTCACTATTTTTGCCTAAAAAAAAAATTGAAAAGACAGTCAAAAAACATTTAGGATGTCAATTTTCAGATATTTTCACCTGTTCAAGAAGTGGCCACATTGCTGTTAACTCGCACTCCAGAGTGATTCCCCCCCCCTATCCTGACCAGACTAATTTGTTTGCGATAATGGCGCTGCGTTATTTTACCTGACAATATACACGGTCATGCAACGCTGCACTCCATAATGATATTTACATCCTTTTTTCCCCCACAAATGGAGCTTTCTTTTGGTGGTATTTGATCACCTGTGCATTTTTTTTTTTTGTGCTATAAACAAAACAAGATAAAACACTAGTTTAATGGCTATTAAACATGTCTAGTAAAACATTTTTAAAAATAAAAAAAATGTCATAAATTTAGGCCAAAATGTAGTATTCTGCACCAATGTCTTTGCTAAAAAAAAAAAAAAAAAAGCCCCTCCCCAATACGTGTAAAGAATTGGTTTACGGTGAAAGTTTATAGCGTCTACATATTGGCGGTATAGATACTGGGATTTTCTTTTTTTCCTTTTTTACTAGTAATGTGATGATCAGCGACTTATAGAGTGGGAGTGGTGGCGGAGTCATTCTGACACTAGGGGGGGGGACAGACTTGGTGTCACTTTGACATTCCCAGTGACACAATACAGTGATCAGTGCTAATAAAAAGCACTGACTAAGGTGCTAATGGTGCACTAGGCAGGAAGTGTGTTAATATGGAGGGTGATCAAAGGGTTAACTGTGTGCCCGGGACTCTGTGACTGACAGCCGAGGCCCGCGAATGGAGGCCGCAGTAGTGGCCCCCTACCTGAACTGCAAAATCATATAAACATTGTGATACCGTATATAATTATTTATATAATGTGTGATTTTGATTGTGAACCGGACCCTGGCTACACTTGGGTATTTCCGTTAGACTCCCGCTTCCTTCCCCCCGTCCGAACACCTACCACAAGACACCATTATTGAAGTAAAACCAGGAAATAGAACTACTTCATTTCAACCACAGATACAAGATATATACATCAATCGGGAACAACCCCCCCCCGTCGCCCCAGTGCGCATAATGACACAGGGCGGGGCAATCCACTCCCAGTAACAAGAGACACACAAGCAGGCAGGTCCCATCAGCCGGGGGAGGTGCTGCTGCAGAGACACCACTTAGGATTCCCCACTAAGCTAGAAGCACAAACCCCCTTCATGCCCATAATAGGGAGTTTTTGCTCCCAAACCAACAGACCACTGAAAATAACACAATCAGAAACAATGCACTAATGATGCAACCACATGGCATAAAACAATCACCAACCCCCCACCCCAATCGTTAGGACAGGTCACCCTGTGACCCTTAACAGGCACAGGGTTGACTTACACATAGGAGAGATATGGGGAGGCTGAGACAGGGGTCCCCTCCACCTCTCCAAAAGTGAAGCTGTAGTTCCAATGGACCCCCCTTACCCTCCCAAAGTGACTCCCGTCAAATTTTATATATTTATATAATGTGTGATTTTGCACACTGGTGCTGCCCTGTAGAAGTTTGGCTCTGAGGACTGAGGTTCTGCCTCGAAACGCGTCAGCCATTTGAGGTCTTACAGCCCCTAAGGTCTATACAGTGGTTCCCCTTTCTAATGGCCCCTGAATACAGTTCCACCATGTTGTGTGACCCCAACCTTAAAATGTATTTCGTTGCTACTTCATAACCATCTAGGAGGAATAGTGCCATGTCATGGACCAACTGCTAGAATAGTGCCTCATTGGTGTCTATTATTGCCTGCATGCCTTAGTGATTTGTCATTTCTTCCGCATTGTGAGTAGGAATACTACAGTGGGAGGAATTTCCCCATATCAATAAATCTCATTTTAGAAAGGCCCCGACTGGTGTCAGTGCACTAGAATATGCCCCGTCAATGGGTCCATGTAGTGCCCCGCATTGTGTCTGTCTGTTTCTTATACAACACAGTTCCTTTGGATTTTCAC